TATATATATATATATATATATATATATATATATATATATATGTAGATGTAATATTTTCCTTGTATCTCCTTCATGCAAAACACCAAAAAAGAAAAACATCTTATGAGAAAGTATAAAAGAAATGTTAATATAGGAAATCTTAATTAGTTAGTTGAATTTATTTTTTCCTTTAAATATCTATTCGATTTTGACGTGTAAATTTGTTCATATTTTGAAATTCTGATATTTTTTTAAACGAAATATTAAAATCTATGACCAGATAAGAGCTAAGTAATTCAGTTATTTGACTATAAATATTTATTTACTTGTTGAGAGTTCGATTCAATCGCCTTCCCCTCCCAATTTAGTTTCAATAAACTAATAATGTTCCCAAAAAAGAAAAATGAGAAGAAAGAAGAGTTGTTTTATAACTTTTATAATTTATTTCCAAATTATTAATTAGCTCACTTAATAAAAGATAACAAGTAATTATTCATAGCTAATGAGAATATTAGTTATATATATTTTATTTTAGTATTATCCTTATTCATGGTACTTTAGAAATTTAAATTTAACTAGTATTAATTAGCTTTCAAAATAGATAAGAATCTATATATATATATATATAAGTTCAATCCCAAAAGAAAAATAACCTAATTAATTAAGTGTTAAACTTACTTAACGCTTTAATTTAGTAATTAGGAAAGTATAAAGTTACCTGGGAATTGTGGATCACTATTTCTTACTCTCCAAAATCTGATATCCTGGACAATTACATAGAATTACCTGTGTGTATATATATATCTGGAGAAAATTAATACAAGTATTCAACAATTAAGTAACATTTTTAGCATGGCTAATTAATTTGCTCTTACTTAATTTAAGAATATATTTATTCATGAAACTTAACTAATTAAACCATCAGTTACCCTACAGGAAAATGGAAACGGATACTGATATATGTTGCACTTTAAGATAATATGCTTTTATGAAAGCTAAACAGATAATTAAATAAAATTAATTCATCTGTTTAATTAGAACTTTCTGAACTTCGTTAGGAACTTATGCATCAACTGATTGATGAGTTTGTAACTGTAGATGGTAAACTACTCGAGTCAAATTAATTTATGCACGTATAACTAAAGTCGTTTCGTTTTGGCATAATATATAAATGTATTTTTTAATTTAACATCATCTGATATTTATGTTTTGACTTCAGATGTATATAAATATGCACTTTAAGTTGCATAAAATTAAACAAATAGATACATATGTGATGCATAGCAAATTGTGTCCTACTTAGAGTCCTATATATATTGTGTCACGTAGAACATATATACATATGTCTACTTATTCAATTCCATACAAATTTAAATATTTATCTGTACACAACCAAAATTAAAGGGCATATATACAAATTGAAATCAAATTAAAAGAGTATATTTATGTATTTTATATTTATTTTTGGCATTCATATGTATCATTGACAAGTCGTTTTGGAAGATTGTTTAATCTTAGTCTAAGAGGTTATCATAGCTCTTCTTAAGATGTAACTTGTGTTTGGATAATTGGATGTGATCTTATTTATATTGTATCAAAATAAATTTTTGTGGTAATAAATTAATATATATTGTAATTATCTATAAAAACAATGCATGTTAAAAAAATCAATATGATTTTTAGTGCAGTAAATCAAAATGATTTTTAGCGCCGTTATATAACAAGATTGCTGCTTCATATACTTTTTAGAGTCAATTACTAGTGACTATTATGTTTTAGTACTTTTTATAAATACTGTTAAATTTTATAACGATATTAAATCTAATGACAATTAACTAATGTCAATAAGAACTTTAATACTTTTTGTTAGTATGCATACTATTTGAGAAATATTATCTAAGTACACAACTTATTTTACCATATTCTCTAAAAGTCTCTATCATTTGAAAAAAATTAGAAAATGTCTATTGATCTCTCCTATTCTACTTTACTTGATGTATCGGGACACATGTAATGTATCGGAACGTTGAGAGATGTATTTAAAACCTAGACGTGATGTATCAGGACTTTGAGCGATGATCCAAAATTGAAACATGATGTGTCAGGACATTTTAGGATGTATCCAGATTTCACCAAATTTAAGAAATTTTTGTTTTCGGAAAAAGAATATGCATATGATGTAATTCGCTCTTAACACTGTATGATTTGTGTAAAATTCTCATAAAAGAAAATTATATAAATACACAATTTAAGGTATCATAATCTCTAAATTTCTCTATTAGGTAATGTATCATTTGTCTCCGAGAAGGGATTTTTGTAATTTATTTAAATGATAAAGAAATTTTAGAGATAATGATAAAAATAAGATTTGTATTCAATTAATTTTTTCTTTTTATATAGTTCAAATGCTTCGCTACATTCTTATCATGTACTTTTAAGGGAACTTTTGCATATAACCACTCAAAATAACTTAATTATATTTCATAGTTATAGTTTGCTAATTACGATTCGTAGCTACGTGTTAGGGGAGGATAGACGTGAGAGAGATCGGGACAAGGAGGAGAGAGGTGATCGAGAGAGAGAATAGAGAGGAGAGAGATGAATTGTGTATGTATATCGATCAGATAATTACGTGTGTGTGTGTGTGTATATATATATATATATATATATTGGATATACATATGTATGTGTATATCTGGCGAGCGAGATAGGGGGAGGGAGGAAAGATGAGAGCGATATTGGGAAAGGGAGAAGAGAGTCGAGAGAAGGAAGAGAATTAAGAGGGCGAACTTTATATGTATATCTACGAGATAATTATATATATGTAACTAGTATACATATATATTTTTAAATCTGGCGAGCGAGATTGGAATAAGGAGGAGTGAGTCAGCGAGATTGGGAGAGAGGAGAGAGACGAGCGAGTTTGAGAAAGAGAGGAGAGAGGCGAGTGAGATATGACAGAGAGTGGAGAGAGACTAATTGTATTTGTATTTCTGTCATATAATTGTATATATATATTTGTATAATTTGTATTTGTATATGTATAAAAAAGGAGAGACGCAAGAGAGAGAAAGAGAGGAGAGAGACAACGTAATTATAATTAAAATTAAGCTGCGACCCATAATTATCAGACGATAGCTATGTTAAGCAATTAACTAATATATTTTTACTTATCCGTATAATTTTCTAGATACTTTAATTTTTTTTTATTTTAGTAGGCCCAAAAGACATAATTTTACTCTAATGTTTTCATATCCCGATTTGTTTGTTTGTTTGTTTTAATTTAAATTTTTTTGTTCTCCATCTTTTTGTGGAGTTCGTAGACTTGTTTAATTCAGAAAATATTAGTATTGTTGAAAAGTCTAGCACAACTTACACTAGTTATCGTCATAAATAATATTTAGTGTTAACTTTTTTCCTTGTTTCTCAACAATTCTATCATGCTTAATTCTATCATCCTTAATTCTCCACTAATTCTATCATGCTTAATTCTCCACTAATTATTATATTGTTCCTTTGGTCTCCATCCACTGCCCCCATTTGACTCTCTTTAGCCAAGAAAAAATGTGAATCTAGAATTCGAATTTTATAATTTTCTATAGAGATTTAAATTAATATATAATATAATTAAGTTTACACTAAAATAGGTTTAATAAAAATTTTAATACATACAAAATTTATAAAAAATTACTAAACTTCCCTGAACCAGTAATATAATGATAAAATTGGGATGTATATAAGGGAAGGGGCATAATATAAAATTAAATAAGGAAGGATGCACCTATATTATAACTTAAAAAATGAAAAGTGAGCTTATATTTTGTATATTGTTTGTGTTTACATTGTTGTTGTTGTATCGTTTGAGTAAATATTATTTTACACTATTAAATTATTCAAATGAAATTCATAAACCTTTTTTAAAAATAAAAGATATACAGTTAAATTATAAAAATAAAAGGCTAAATTATTTATCACCCCTCTAAACTTGAAGTTTTTTATTTGGTGTATACTTAAATTATATTTTTTTTAATTACCCTCTCAAATTTGTTTATTCCACTATCACGTACACCTATTTGTTTGCTGCTCCTAGTGTGACGCGCGTCAGTTGACAAAAATAGTGATGATGTGGATTTCCACCTGGATAAATAATAGCCACCTAGATAAATTAAAATGGCAAAAAAAATAAGTATTATATTCCAACTCCTTTCTCGGTCGCCGTCAATCTCCACCACTAACCACCGTATCTCCTTTTCTCATCTCTCTTTCCGATGCAAAATCAATTCTTCACTCTAACCTCCTTTCCGCTGCAAAACAAGACGATTTTTTACAGCTCACATAACACTTCATCTCCTCTCACCTTGCTCAATCAGCTGAATCGAAATCCTTATCTATTTT